TCTTACCATCTCCTCATGCGGCAGGATACATCAGTTTTGTTACCATCTCCTCGTGCGGCAGGATACATCAGTTTTGTCACCATCTCCTCATGCGGCAGGATACATCAGTTTTATTACCATCTCCTCATGCGGCAGGATACATCAGTTTTGTTACCATCTACTCATGCGGCAGGTTATATCAGTTTTGTCACCATCTCCTTATGCGGCAGGATACATCAGTTTTATTACCATCTCCTCATGCGGCAGGATACATCAGTTTTGTTTGATCAACAAATTCGACAACAGGAAAGAACGAGATTCTAAGTGTACAGCCCAGTAACACGTGCATTTGTACCCCTAATTAATCAGTTCCCGCCACCAAAACGTTAGTTCACGAGAAAAAAAATGTATCATTCATCAGACACTCACGCATTTGTATTGATGTGTTGAATTATGAATGTTTTTAACGAGTTACAAGGCATACTTCTTTCACTAATTTAATAATTAACATAGCTTCAATTTAAGAACTTTCTGATAGCTGATAAATCATTGTATAAAGTCTACGTGGACTTTCAAATGCTTCATGAAAAAAATTAGTTTTTCAGAAGCAAACATAACATGAATTGAGTTCTTAGAGCAATGATCTTCGGCAACGACAAGTAAGGCAGGTTTAATTTAAACGTGACTGGAAATTTTTCTCCAGATCGTGTAATCGCCACTATATTTTATCGAGCGAGTGTTCGGCTATTTTAAAGTTAATTTCTATGTTTAAAGACAGATTGAAGGATGCCGAAAGGTGGTTGAATACCAGTTTTAACGAGATTGTTGCAAATCACCATCTTAATGTAAAAAAGGAATTGGAATTTTAAACCTGAATAGCACTTTAGACGCACGTGAGCTAAAGGGTCATGTCATTTACCACTACAGTTACATGTATAGCAGTCATCATCATCATTGAGACTTAGGTTTTGAGTAGACCTGGGAGGGTCAGGTGCAGTTTGATGTCTTCCTCCCTCCTTCCCTCCCTGACTGTTGTTTTAATAGAGGCTTGTTTTTGTTATATTTTCTATTTTCCTTTTCAGGGCCATGCCCATGAATGTTATCCTATGACCGGTGTAGGTGAAGCTCTGAAATAGGGTTTTCGACATTTGATTACATGATTGTGTGGTATTTAGGCTTAAGAATAATTGTACGTACGTTGTGTGAAATAACAGATATGAAGTGTTGTTTAGCTGTGTGAAATCTAAGATGGGATTTGGTTCGGTTTCCAGTGTTTTGTTTGTTGATTTACTATTATTGGATATATGTGAAATGTTTGTTTGTTTCTGGACTTCATTTGTTGACATTAGCGTTTCTTAAGTTAGTGTTTGTGACCGTGCTGCCTCTGTATTAGTATTGTCGTGTGTGGCGTGTGTAACTGTATATTGTAGAATCTGGGTTTGATGTCCGAATATTTAAGACATCCTTTATAATTAGCTGTGTGTTGCTGTTGGCAGTTACAACACAGTGGGTTACATAAAAGAAAGACCACAACACGTAGTTTTGAGACTAAAAGACGTAGATTTCACGCACACAAAGTCAGGATGAATGAGGATGCATACTCGTTTAACATCAATGTTCTCCCCTTTTCTTCAGATTGTTTGTATTTTTGTTAACAAAGATAATAATAAAAAATGTTCATTGTGGTAAATGATATAATAATTTGATCTAAGTAAGAGTTGTTTTTTCTTCTTCCCGATTTGTAAACAAAAATCCTTACGTGATAGGAAAAAAAAAAATATTATTTTCGAACTCTGCGTAGCTGAATTATGGAAAATCCGTTATTAAAACCAAAACAACTTTTATGAAGTTTAAATTTGCAGGCCTGTAAAAAGATATACCTGGTTCTGAATCCTGTCTATTGGTGGGGCTAAAAGCGTCACAGTGGAAAAGCATTTTCAATATGACACAGACACTAGAAGAAAACAACAAATTCACGTGATATCATGCCATCCTTCTGAAACGGTTATTTAGTTTAACACGCGGAAGTGTAAAACTAAATCGGTCTTGTAAGTAACTAAAGTAACTTGTAAGTAACTAAAGAGGTTAACTACGTTATGTTAATATGGTTTTAGAGCTTCATTACGTCGTTACAGTCCATGTCACCACGTCCGGTCATGCTTTATAAAAATTACTACGCATCTTGACAATAGCCTATTGTTTACATTGCAAAAGACTCCATCGTAAGGCTGTCATGTTCAAATCACGCCTGCGTGCTTTCAATAATACATCTACTGTACAAATACGTTTCATTCTTCAGACGTTTAAGGTATACCATGGTTGAATAACTATGCCATGGAAACAATTTTTGTGCATGTGAATTGTTTCACCTTTCCATACGCTTATCCTTCATTATTATGTTGTGTACTGTTGCATGGGGCAAGTGGAAGGCTTTTGCTATCGACCTGTGTTCGTGGATTCCCACGTATTACAAGTCACTGTACTTTTCTTACACGGTTGGATTGCGACTTTTGCAAGTCTCTTCCTGTATTGGTCCTGGTACCCCAAGTTGATTCATATTCATTTATTTCCAATTCTATTAAGCACAAGGGGTTTTCCAGCCTTGTAAATTCTAAATTCCCCGATCTTTACACATCATTATGGTACGAGGGTATGAAAATTGTGTGTCGGAAAGGGCTATTATATACCCTTCCCAAAAATGACCACTTTTCGGTATCATCACACAATCTTATTAACGTTAAATAATTTAAATAGTCAAAATGTAGTTATGATACATTCCATTCCACCAGAACTTTATATCGGCTGTAGTTGTGACGTAACGTGCTGATTTGTGCGTTCAAACCCATTTTTCTATCTCACCTTACTGTTATCATATTAAGATTTTAAGTGATCAGTTTCGTGAATATCCAAACAGCTGATCATGATTTTAACCATTTTAAGATATAAACTGATCACTTTGAGAACAACTAATTAGTTAATCACAGTTATATACGTAATGCGATAGCTTCTTAACTAACAGTACTTATTTTTAAAAAAATGGAGGTGGGGTTTAGTGTCTGTTCTTTAAGTTTAATAGCGAGTTGTTCGTCTTTGATTGTGATTGGTAGCTCAGATGATTTTAAAATATATTATCTTTACATGTTAAGGAAGCAATTTTGAAATGTATTTAATATCTTTGGTGGACTTTAGTCCACGCCAAATTCATTTATTTCCACTCCATGACAAAAACAGGAATAGTAAATAATGAGAAGTCATAAAACAAATGGAAACAAGGATGGTATAAACGAGAAACTTACCGTCGATGCACGATCCTAATTCATATGTTTCGCTACTTGATGTTACCTCTGTGTTCGTAGAGCCCTCTGGTGACGAGTAGGAATCCTCCGGTGTGAGAAGGCATAAAGAACGCGAATCATCGAACATAAATGACCTACAGCGAAAATCAGTGTGTTCAATACACGATTCTTGACAGCGCTCCCTGGTAGTGGATGAGAGTGACAGATAAACTTGTGCGTGGGTTATCATCCTACCATTTTGTTGATTAAAAATGCACTGACTTGGTTCTGTAACCATAGAAACAACACTTGTTACAATGTGTACGCCTTTTTACAAGCCGGTGAAGAACGACCACAATTATGGTCGTCAATTATATCCGATAATAGATATGACAAATATAGTGTGGTTGGAATACTATTATTATACACAGCTTGGTCACAAGTAAATAGACACCACCTTTTCAGAAAATCACATGAATCGATATATTTATAATTTAATTAATAATCTAGT